AGCAAAGGGTCTGAATATTTAGGACCATGTGATATTTCAGTTTTTCTTTTTTAATAAATCTGCAAAAATGTCAACAATTCTGTGTTTTTCTGTCAATATGGGGTGCTGTGTGTACATTAATGAGGAAAAAAAATGAACTTAAATGATTTTAGCAAATGGCTGCAATATAACAAAGAGTGAAAAATTTAAGGGGGTCTGAATACTTTCCGTACCCACTGTATATATCGTGATTCACGCAATACACACTACAATCTCAATTAGGAGTGTCAATGGTAATGCATTGCGACATTGCGTGAATCGGAGGTAAAAAAATTATATAAGTACTGTTCAGTTTCTTGCACAGACCGATCGTTTTGTGTCTTTACACATCAATGTATCATCACGAGCCGCAGGGTTTAATTTGGTTTTGTTTGGTTTTGTTTTTTACTCTCAAAGCCGTGATTCCCATTCAGTTCCTTTATAAGACTGACAGACTGCAACGCTTTGTGTTAAAAATCTCTGTTTGTGTTCTACTGAAGAAACAAAGTCACCTACATCTTGGATGCCCTGGGGGTAAGCAAATAAACATCACATTTTCATTTTTGGGTGAACTATCCCTTTAACACTGAATTTTTTTAAACATTCTAGCAGACATTATACCAACAAAGCACAATTTAAATTAATAAATTAGTAAAATAATGTTTTTGGCCATTTTTGAGACTTGAAGCAGGCATGTAATTTTTACTGTACAAATAAAGGCAGCCTTGCTGAACATTAGAATATAATGCAGATCACAATTTGAACACTGTGTGAATGTTATAATAAATGTATTAATAAAGCTGTTGTAGGGTAATTATTATCATCATTATTATTGTCTTAACTTTTTATTTTATTTTACAGAACGACAGTAAAATGACAATACTATCATTTGTTGACGTAGTTGTTGCTTTTTCTCTGCTTTTATTTTGGCAGAAACCCGTAGGAAGATCCCAGTGCTTCTTTTTGTTGACAACAGCATGCAGATTTATAAATGATTCTCATTAGGAGTTTGGGAAGATGTTTGTCGCACGTATCACATTGTCACATGCCTTTAAAAAAATTCACAAAAATGTTACTGAGCAACTGACGAGTAACAGTTTTGAGCAGCTTTTCCTCGCGCTTTTGACTTTGAACCCTGGCGCCAGAATACATGTCAGAATACATGCAATTCGTGTGTGCATTAGAACATATAACATTCTGCAGTTTTATAAATCGTTTGAGGTCATTTCGCAATTTCAATCATCATACAGTAACCTAACCACCAGCATTAGCCACCTCTTCTTCTCATCGGAGACATGTGATGCAGCACTAAACAGTCTCTCGCTGTCAGTGCTTTGTGCTTGTAATGATTTCTGCATCTTTCTCTGATTTAAATACTTTCACACTGCCAAAATGTTTGCTGCATAAGTGCGCGCCTCTATTTGATCTCGATTGTTCGGTACATATTATTCGGCCTTTTCACTTATTCGGCCGAATAATTTCGGTTGCCAAATATTCTGTGCATCCCTAATGTAAAGGCAACATATGGCTTAAATCTTCAAATTCCAAATATTAACAAACTATTTTAGAATAAAATAACACTGGTGTGAGTAATGCTGGCAAGATCAATCCATTACCTGAGTTCTTGTGGTTTGAATTAGCTATCTGTATAATGGTTTAAACATATATTTTTTTGTTAAAAACAATATATTAATATCAAATGTTATACATTTTTCTTTGATTAACTCTCTTTTCATAGGCATTTGTTTGGCGCTAACCCAGAAGCACAGTATCCAGATACCCTGGCTTTAACCTTTGACCCTGTGACCAGCCACTTGACGTGTGTGTATAATGACCACAGTGTGTACGTATGGGACGTGCGGGACATTCAAAATGTCGGGAAGGTCTACTCAGCTCTTTACCACAGCGGATGTGTGTGGAGTGTGGAGGTATGTTAGTGACATACCAGCTCATGTTGAGATTATCAGATGAATAATATGCTAGGCCAGTTTATTAATGCATGAATATTCTCGGCAGACCTACCCTGAGCTTGAAGATTCATCTGCGGCGTGTTTTTCACCCAGCTCTTTCCTCACCTGTTCATCCGATAACCTTGCGAAAGTATTCATACCCCATTCATTTTTTCACATGTTATGTTGCTGCCTTATGTTAAACTGCTTTAAATTACTTTTTTCCACATCAATCTACACTCCATACACCATACTGACAAAGCAAAAACAGAATTGTCACAGCTTTGTAAATTTATTAAAAATAAAAAAACTGAAATAAGTATTCAACTAAACTCAACTCAATTAACTAAATATTTCGCTGAAGCACCTTTACAGTCTCAAGTCTTTTTTGTTTAATGCGACAAGCTTTGATCATCATCATTTGGCAATTATCTGCCATTCTTCTCCTCACCTCTTCACCTCTCAAGCTCTGTCAGGTTGGATGGGAGCAAATGCACATTTTCAAGTTTCTCCAGAAATATTTGATTGGGATAAATCCCAGGATCTGGCTGGGCCACTCAAGGACATTCACAGAGTTGTCTACAAGCCACTCTTGCTGTGTGCTTAGGTTCATTGTCCTGTTGGAAGGGGAACCTTCTGCCCAGTTTGAGGTTCTGAATGCTCTGAACTGGGTTTTCATTAAGACCAACTCAATATTTTGGTGCATTGAGCTTATCTTCTACTCTGATGAGTCCCTCGGTCCCTGCCACTGAAAAACAGCCCCACAGCATGAGGCTGCTACTAGCACATTTTACTTTTGGGGTGGTACTCTTCAGGTGATGAGCAGTGCCTGGTTTCCTTTAAACATGATGCTTGGAATTGAGGTTCATCAGACCAGAGGCTCTTGTTTCTCAGAGTCTGAGAGTCCTTTAGCTGTTTTTATGCAAAATCCCAGATCGGTGGAGTGTTGCAGTGATATTTGTCCTTCTCTAGATTTCTCCCATCTGCATATGATCATGGAGCTCCACTAGAGTGACCATCATGGTCTTGGTCACCACTCTAA